GTAGCACTCTTCTCTCTATAATTGATAGAAGTATACAAAAAAATTAGGAAAGATAAGGCTTGACCAACAGCATCAATCAATCTGATCTAATTGACATTAGTAGAACACTCCACCTAACTACAACTGAGTACACATTCTTTTGAAATGCACACAAGACACTTACCAAGAAAGGCTATATTCTGGTCTGTAACACAGTCTCAATAAATTTAAATGGATTTAAATCATACTAAGCATATTCACTAACTACAGTGAAATTAATTTAAAATGATCTACAGTAACACATATGAAAAAAATCAGAAATGTTTGGAAACTAAATATACTTCCAAATAACCCTTGGTCCAAAGAAGATTTCAAAAGGCAGTTAGAAAGTATTTAGAAAGGAATGAAAATGAAAACATGACATATACAAATTTGTGGGAAACAGCTAACAGTTCTTAGAGGAAAATATAGTGCTAAATTCTCATGTTTAAAAAAAGGTATCTCAAATCAATGACATTAGGAAACTATAAAAGGAAAAGCAAATACAACTAAAGAAAAGAAATAATAAGGATCAGAGAAGAAATCAGAGACCAGACAACAGGTTCTCAAGATGGTCAATAAAACCAATAAACCTCAAGCTAGACAGACCAGGGGCAAGAGAAGATGCAAATGACCAATGTGAGAAATCAGATAGGGGGATTATTGTAGACTCTACAATATTAACAGATAAGGGAATATTATGAACAACTTGATTAAGATAAATTCTACAACTCTCATGAAGAAGATAAATTTCCTGAAGAACACAAACTACCAAATCTCACTCAAGAAGAAATAGACTGTCTGAACGGTCCTGCATCTATTAAAGAAATTGTTCAACATTAAAAATCTTCCCTCAAGGAAAATTGTAGGTCAGATGGTTTCTCTGGTGAATTTTACCAAACGTAAAGAAGAAAATGCTGAACTTATGCAAATTCTTCCAGAATAGTAAAAAGCAAAACATAAACACAAACAAAACCAATACCAGCTTTGAAAAAGAATTAAGATTGGAGTTTTATCTCAAGACTTATAAAGTTACAGTAATAAAAATGGTATGATATTGGCATAACGACAGACAAATCAGTGAAACAGAATAGAGTCTACAAATAAATAAACACAAATATAAATCAATTGATTTTCAACCAAGCAGTACAACAAAGGAAAAATCTCTTCAACAAATTCTGCTGGAAAAACTGTTCAGATATATGCAAAAATATGATTTAATTCTTACCTTACACTATGAACACATATGAAAAATAATTAACTCAAGATGGCTCATAGGCTTAAATATAACAAACTATAAATCTTCCAAAAGAAAACATAGGAGAAAATCTGTTACCTTGGGTTTGGCAAAGATTTCTTAAGTTTGAAACCAAAAACACAAACTATAAAATTTTAAAAATTAATAAACTAGACTTTAGTAAAATTAAAAACTTCTGCTATTGAAAAACACTGTTAACGAAATGAAAAGGCAGAGAAAGTTGTTGCAAAATACATTCTAATAAAAGACTTGTATCTAGAATATATAAATATCTTTTATAAGTCACTTATAAGATGACAATCCAATTAAAAATTGCCAAAATATTTCAGCAGACGCTTCATCAAAGAAGATATATGGAAGTCAAATAAACACATGAAAAAAATCATAAGGGAAATGAAAATCCAAATCCCAATGAGATACAGAGATACAACTGTGTACCCAATAGACTGTCTAAAATTAAATACTGCTCAAACCAAATTTTGTCAAAGATGTCAGGCAAGAGCAACTGGCATAGGCTATTGATAGGAACATGAAATGTTACAACCCCTTTGTAAAACAGCATGGTAGTTTTGTAAAAGTGTTAGGCATACATGGACCATCTGACCTAGTCATTCCAATCCTAGATATTTGCCCCAAGGAAATAAAAATATATGTTCTCAAGAAGACTTGCACAAAAATGTTCATGATACCTTTATTTGTAATAGCCAAAACCAGGAGATATTGAAATGTTCATCAACAAGTGAGTGGATAAGCCAATTGTGGTACATCCATATAACATAATTCTACTCAGTAAATAAAGGCATAAACTACTGATACACAATCAACATGAATTAATTTTAATATTATTATGTCGAGCAAAAGTGCAAGACAAGAAATGAATAAAGATGGTAAGATTCCATTTATATAAAATTCTAAAAAATGTAAACAGTCTATAGTGTAAAAATGTAAATTAGTCTATAGAAAAACAGATTAGGAATTTTCTGGGGACCAGAGTGGGATGGACAGGGAGGAGGAAGAGGGAGGGATTACAAAGTAGCACAAGAAAACATTTTGGGGTAATGAATATACACATTGTCTTAATTGGAGAGACGATTTCATGGGTATCTGCATGTACGTAAATATGTGCTATTTATTACATGTCAATGACATGGGATAATCCTGATTTTTCTTTTCATTTTATAATTGCATAATGGAAATAATATTGGCTTTAGAGTCAGACATATGAGTTAAATACTAGCTCTGCTCTTATATATAATGCAACCTTATGTAAGTTACTTACCATTTTGAGTCAGCTTCTATATTTATTTGTGTAGTAATAAGAATATCATATGTGAGTATAAGAATATATATGTCAAAGGCTTGCTGTATTAAATATAAGAACATGTATATTTTTCTTCTTTATCCCTAAACCCACTCCGATTACTCTCTTCTTAATGGGTACCCTTCTTGTATTTGACACGTAGCCTTGAATATGTTTGTATGTATGCATGCGTATGCTTTAATGTAATTAAATGGCATTGTGCTAATTAATTAAAACTAATTGTTTTCTCTTTACGCTAAATTTTAAGGATATACCCTTAGATATACCCTTATTTCTCTACATATGTCCAGTAAGTTGCTTCTAACTGCCGTATTGTATTCCATATCATGGATCCAGCCAAGTTAGTTCACTGACTTCCTAAGAAACAGACATCTGTGTGTCCAATTGTCTACTACCGCAAACAATAACGGAATAAATATCTTAGTACTTGTTTTTTTGTGCGGATCGGAATAAATTCTCTTGGCTGTATATCCAAAAGTGCAATTACTGGACTTTAGGACAGACATGTGATGAATTTTACTAACTCAGTACTCCTAGGTTACTTTCCAAAATGATTCAATCAGCTTATACTTCCACCATGACCTTACTAATTTTGACCAATGCAATGGATATAGTATCTCACTTTCATTTGCATTTCTCAGGTTTCTGGTAAATTTGAGTATCATTTCCTATTCTTATTAGCTACTCAGTTTTCCCCTTTGTAAATCACATTCTTATCTTTTGTTCATTTTTATACTGAGTTTCCTGTCTTTTACTTGTTGATTTATAATTCCTTGGAATGTCTATTAATGTCATTAATTTTATGCTTTACTAAAAGCTATTTCAGTCTGTCCCCAGCCTATTAACTTTAAGGTGTCATTCACTGACTAGAAATCTTTCATTTTAATATAGTCATAACTATCCTTTGTTAGCCCAACTCTTTAAAAAATATTTTTGGGTCATGTCGAAGAAGTACAGTTCCTCACCCATATCTCAAACATAATTCTTCTACATTTTCTTCTGTGAGCTTTACAATTTTCTTTTTAATCCATCGTTTTCATCCCTCTGGAGTCCAACTTTTTATATGGTGCAATGTAGGCATTTTTCTCCATGCAGTGAGCCAGTGTTTCAATACTATCTGCTAAAGGGTTTGCCCTGTCTCCATTACATAAGTGGTGCATCTTTATCATATATCACCCACATTGTTTTTAATTGAAAAAAAGAATGCTTCTGGAAGAGTGATGACCCCAAATAAGAAAGAGCATGAGAAATATTCTTGCCTTTCCACTCTCAGGAGGGTACTGGTGACACTGTTCCTCACTATGGGATCAGCCTTCTGAAGCCACATGTAAATAGGGCATCTTAAACACTCCTAGCAGCCTCAAGTGGATTTTTTTTTATTAGTATAAAGAAAGAAATAATCTTATTAGATCAAGTGCATCAGATAGATGAATTCCTACAATGCCTCCAATTTTTAATGGCATAATAATGTGTTTCCATGTCACGTTAGATAAATAAAATGTTTTGAAGGTCACAATATATTATATATCACATCATAACTATACTTCTGCAGTAGCTGTTTAGGACCTGTTTTCTACAAAATTTTCCAATTTTCCCAAAGCTTCCTAATTCTTGGATTGATTTAGGGTACTTGACATTACATAACACTTAACTGGTAAATTTTTTTTAAGCAAGGAAAAATTTAGGCAAAAACAGGTCTGATTTACTGCTTAATTCTGTATTCTACAGAGAGTCCTCAAAGAAAGAGTTTTTGACTGATTACCTGGCTGAGAGCCCACACAGTTACTGGGTTAGGACTCACATGAAGAGGGAAATCTCCTTTAGTGAAAGTCATGATCTGTTTGTCATTGCCTTTTGTTCAAAGGGAAAAGCACCAGAGACTTCAAGGATGCTAGAGGATTATTATACTGTGCAAAAATTAACACTATGTAATTGATCATGGAGCCCTTTGCGGGGACCACAGAGTGCTATGGACTATATACTTAAATGAATATTTCTGCCTTGCCTTTAGATTTGGCTGAAAATTATATTGGAATCTTGTTATTCTGTTTCATTACTCAATGAGGCTGAACAACAAGTGGAAAATAGAATCAAGCAAGCTAGTATTTCTCTTAGAAACTGGCAGTATGTAGCATTATGAGCTAGAATCCTAACTAAAGGACTACTTTTTTTTTTTTTTTTTTTTGAGACAGGGTCTTACCCTGTCACACAGGCTGGAATGCAGTGGTACAATCCCAGCTCACTGCAGCCTCTGCCTCCTGGGCTCCAGTGATCCTCCCTCCTTAGCTCCCGAGTAGCTGGGTCCACAAGTGCACACCACTATGCTGAGTTAATTTTTTTGTTTTTTGTAGAGAGGGGTTATCACTATGCTGCCCAGGCTAGTCTCGAACTCCTGGCCTCAAGCGACCCACCCACCTTGACCTCCTAAAGTGCTGGGATTATAGGTGTGAGCCATTGTGCCTAGCCTAAAGTGCTACTCTTGCCTAGTACCAGAACTCAGACTTTCCATTCTCATTGCCCTTGGTTGTACTTGGGCTTTAAGAGCAGAAGATCACATTAGATCTAACAACATTTAAGCTATGCTGATTACACACACAGTGTCACAGTCAGACTTGGTTGTGGTGAATCTACAAATCTACAACATGCAATTGATAGTTTTTCTGTTTGCTTTGCTCTTGAAAAATTTGCAATAATTCACTACCACAGAACAAAAAGACCTGTGACTTATGTTTTACAGTTTATATGGCCATATGTTATATTGTCAACATTCATGTTCTATCGCATTTTATAAAGTTCTAAGTAATGCCCAACAACCCCAATCTGTTGTGAAATCACAACTACAGACCCACTTGAGAAAAAGGTAAAAAGAATGCACATGTTATATGTGTCACAATGAATGTGTCTAAATATGACAGAATATGGATATCGACAATACACCACATCAGCTATGTAAATAATAAAACATGAGTCACAGTTCTTGTCGCTCTGTAATGGTGAGTTACTGCAAGTTTTTCCACCAAGATCAAAATAAAAAGAAAAGCTATGAACACTATTTTGCAGATCTGTAGATTAATTACCACCAATTCTGACTATAACACACTTAATGAAATCTCTGGGTGTCTGTTTACACAAAGATTTTTGGCTAATGTGAATCTAGGTAGGATTGTTGTAAAATTTCAAACATGCTTTTAGGATGGCAACACAGCTGTCGAACCAGAAACTTCAGATGTGTTAATGTGGAAATGTCTACAATTTTCTCCACAAAAGAAAACCCGCAAACATTTTTTTTAGCCTAAGTTTTTACTGGAACATGGGTATCATTATGCTCTTTGATCTCACGCCATTTGGAATATTTCTGAAATCCATATCAGTGACACTAGGGATTCTGTCTTGATGTTCTACAGAAAAATATTTAAGTCAGGATAGGATATTATATGGGGAAAAAAGTAAGCTCTAAATGTCCTAACTATATGTAATTTTTATTAAAATAGCATATAAAGTCCCCACATTGTATATTTATTTCAGTATATTTTGTTACCTTTACTAATCAATTATATATTCCTAATATCATCAATGGTTTCAGGCATCCACAGGGGGTCTTCCCATATCTGCAGATTAGGGGAGACTATTGTACATTGAAATAGATTCCACTGAAATGGATTTAATTATCCCTGCTTCTGTTCCTTGCAGCACTTGATTCATAGTTTTTGTCATTATAATACTTATCATACACTATCATAATTAATGATATGCACATCTGTTTTCTCCTATGAGAGACAATAATCCTTCTCGCCCTCTCACAAAGCCTGGTGCAGGGCCTGGCATGAAGTAGTTATTGAATTATTTTAAAACAAAATTGAATGAGTGACCCCACAGACAAGACAACAGGTAACAAAGACTGGGTATTGTAACCGTTCATGTCCTTGAAGTACAACGTATAAGTGAGAGAGAAAAAGGTGTAAGAATGAGGCAGGAAGTTAAAATAAAATTATGAAGTGATGAAAAAATGTAGACAGAAGAGGAAAATAAATGGCTTAAATCCAACCAACATATCATCACAGCTACTATTAAAAGTGAATTTAATCAGAAGCGGGCATACTGCCATACTCAGAAGAATTTCATTCCTGAATTATCACGAATTTCTTGTTTAAGTGTATAATTTTCTTGTATGCAGTCATTGAGGCAGAAAAATGGGAAGGATATTATTGATAGAGACCTGCCACAGAAAGAAATCCAATGGATACTGGTAATGTAGCTATTCTCTTTAGAGGAGATGTCCAAGACAGCATGCTTTTATTATCGGTCTGGTGAAGGTGGAGATGGCTGGTATAAATAGTAACAAAGAAATATTCTTTGAGTTCCTACCTCACACCAAAGGCCATGTCAATAATTTTCATAAATTACAAAAATTTGTATGAGTCAGATATCATGGTGTCCAAATTACAAGGAGAAAAAATGAAGATTAGAAGGATTGAATTACTTGCCATCATTGCAAAATGAGTGGGGAAGCTTTGGTCAAACCAAATTTGGGGGCTCGTCTTAGAATACTCTGTAGCCACCTCCTTTGGTGTTTGGAGACACTGTTAATCACCTACTGCATTATATTAAAATTATTCCCATTTTAAGATACTTTGTTTAGGCGACTTCACATTTGCTAAATTGCAGTTTGAGGATTCCTTTCATGTGAAGTTGGAGGATCTGGCTGTATTCTTTGGGCATCTGATGGAAGCCACGTTTAGGTAGCTTGTTGTCATAATAGTGATGGCTGACAGGTATGTCTTCTACAGTTTTAGAGAAGGGCCAGAATCCATACAGCTTCACGTTTTCACACAGTTCCACTGCAACACTTGTGATCATCAAGCCAGTGGACAAGCGGTATGCAGTCACACCTTTAGTTCTCCAGAAAAGGGCCAGATGTTTCAGGTACTTGGGATGGAAAAATAGAACCTTTTGTCTTGCTTTAGACTCTTCGAGCGTGTAGTACACTTTAAAAGAGGTACCCGTGTTGGCCCTGAAGGAAAATGCTGGCAGAAGAAAAAATGCATCTCCATAGGTTGCAATGTCCTCCAGAAATAGGGCTCTTTTTTCCTTTAAGTTCCCATATCTGCCAAATTAAAAAAAAAAAAATTATAGTAATCCCAAGAATAATAATCAAAGTAGCAGTTTTGATAACATAAAGCTGAATTTACCATTGGCCAAAAAACTGAACAATTTGTATACTGTATATAAAACAGGTAAAGTGTGGACTCAGAAAACTCATTCAAGTAAGCATTACATCAATATCAATGGCTAGATCTTCATCTCTCTTTCTTGGAATCCTTTCAATTTTTACTTTCTTACTGGGCTATACCCTTACTGAACAGATATTTCTTGTATTACTTTTTATTCTTATTTGATATTTTTTCCTAAAGTTGCTTTTTGTTATTGAAACACCTTCCAAATGTATAATGATAAAATATTTTTTCAAGCATAGTATGCATATCAATACATTTTTTAAAATTCATTGAGCTGCACATTTATGATTCGTGCACCTTTTGCACATATTTCATTATAAGTTTCCTTTAGAAAACCTAAAATAGACCAGGCACAGAGGCTTATGCTTGTCAGCACTTTGGGAGGTTGAGGCGGGAAGATCACTTGAGGCCAGGAGTTCGAGAACAGCCTGGGTAACATAGCGAGACCCCGCCCCACATCTCTATAAAAAATAAAAATATTAGCTGGGAACAGTGGTGCATGCCTGTAATCCCAGCTACTTGGGAGGCTGAGGTGAGAGGACCCCTTGAGCCCAGGAGTTTGAGGCTGCAGTGACCTGTGATTGCACTGTTGCATTTTAACCTGGGTGTCAAAGTGAGACAAAGAAAGAGAGAAAGAGAGAGAGAGAGGAAGGAAGGAAGGAAGGAAGGAAGGAAGGAAGGAAGGAAGGAAGAAAGGAAGGAAGGAAGGAAAGAAGGGAGGAAGGGAGGGAGGGAGGGAGGGAGGGAGGGAAGGAGGGAGGGAGGATGGAAAGAAGGAAGAGAGGGAGGAAGGAAGGGAGGGAGGGAGGAAGGAAGGACAGAAAGAAGGAAGAAAGGGAGGAAGGAAGGGAGAGAGGGATGGAGGGAGGGAGGGAAGGAGGAAGGAAGGAAGGAAGAAAGGAAGGAAGGAAGGAAGGAAGGAAGGAAGACTTAAAATATCTAAATGCAAATATAGATATACATATAGATTATTTTTGAAAATTTCCTCCACACATTGTAGTAACTATATGTATGATTTAAATAACTTAGTATCCTTGTAAGTATAATTGTGTTTAGAAAATATGCTTTGAAAGGCAAGTTCAATATTTATTTTACTTTATTTCAAGAGATGCTATAACTATTAGCACAAACATTCTATTACTAATGCTTATCAGTTACTTTTGATGAAAACAATGGAGTAAAAACTTTGTATAAGATTATTTATTAACCAACAATTTTATGGTAGTTATGTTGCATAAATGAAAGATGGTAATTATTTTTTAGTAATAAACTCTCCAACATGATAACTGTATTTTGCCAGGTTGTCTTAGCGCTAACTCTCTGAAGTTTCTAAATAGAGTAAGTTTTATCAAGAAAGTGCTACCAAGATAGAAGAGTAATGCTAACGCTCTAAAAGAAAATGGAAAAAAGTGGCTTCATTATTGTTAAAAGAGATGAAGAAATAAATATGATTTGATTAGCTTATGACATTGGAAGTACAACTGAGTCATAACTCTTATGAACAACAACCTTGATAGAATGCCACAATTTGCAAATGAATTCTTATATATTTTTCCAAAAATTCATTCCACCTGTATTGCAAGTCAGTCTCAGCAACAAGATTAGTGCTTAAGCTGAGAAACATATTGAACAATGGAAAAATGTTCTTGATCAGTTATGTAACTTGCAGCTACTTACTTCAGAGTTATGATACTAGGATTTATAGTCACAAGATTTGTTTTACTGCCAACATCTTTACTAACATCTCCTGTGGTTGGGGGGAGGTTACACCTGAAATTTGAAAAGAAAATCATTTTCAAAATAGAACTTGTGGAAAAAAGATTGTATACACACATATGCACGCGCGTGCACACACACACACATCTCTATAAAATAATTGTCCTTATGTTGGAGAAATCATTGCTATTAAGAGATCCTCAGAATCCATCTAGTTTCTATTTTAAATTATTTACTTTAGTAATTACTCAGTTCTTAGCTGACATTTCAATGTTGTATAAAATACACACTTTTTTTTTTTTTTTTGAGACAGATCTCACTCTGTTGCCTAGGCTGGAGTGCAGTGGTGCTATCTGGGCTCACTGCAACCTCCGCCTCTTGGGTTCAAGCAATTCTTCTGCCTCAGCCCCCTGAGTAGCTGGGACTAAAGGCATGCACCCAGCTAATTTCTGTATTTTTAGTAGTGATAGGGTATCACCATGTTGGCCAGGCTTGTCTTGAACCCATGACCTCAAGTGATCCACCTGCCTTGGCCTCCCCAAGTGTCGGGATTACAGGTGTGAGCCACTGTGCCCAGCTAAAAGATACAAATTTGATCAATGCTTTCAATATGGATAATCACTTTTATAAGTATCAAAACCAGAAATGACAATTACACCTTGTCTAAATTTAGAAGAGTTCCCAATCCTTTTATTAAAATTGTTATTTATATTATTTCTATTGATTATGTTCCCATAGTGGTATGATCACCAATTTGCATATTCTTAAAACCTTGATGTACTGTGACTAAAGTTATACGGTCTACCAGAAGCAAAGACTACATTAAAAAATCAAAACCTCCCGATTCCCATGTGGATAGTTTTGTCACCAAATTACGGTGTTAATAAATAAAATTCGGCCGGGCGCGGTGGCTCAAGCCTGTAATCCCAGCACTTTGGGAGGCCGAGACGGGCGGATCACGAGGTCAGGAGTTCGAGACCATCCTGGCTAACACGGTGAAACCCGTCTCTACTAAAAAATACAAAAAACTAGCCGGCGAGGTGGGGCGCTGTAGTCCGGCTACTCGGAGGCTGAGGCAGGAGAATGGCGTAAAACCCGGAGGGAGCTTGCAGTGAGCTGAGATCCGCCACTGCACTCCACCTGGGCGACATAGCGAGACTCCGTCTCAAAAAAAAAAAAAAAAAAAAAAAAAAAAAAAAAAAAAAAAAAAATAAAATCCTAATGTTCTTATAGTGATGTTTTCATACTGATGTTCTCATCTTCCTTTGAGTACTAATTTGCTTTCAAATTGGAAAACAAATTAAGAATTCTAATTTTGAGTAATTATATTCTTCTCACAAAAAAGGAAAAATTGGTTATGACTTTCTAAAGATCATTTACTGAATTTCAAGTAGTAAGGCTAAACATAAGAAGGGAGCATCTTTGAGTGCTTCCTAAAGAAGGCTGTTCAAAATTGATGTGGTCTATAACATGACTGAAGGTGAAATGAGCCGTACCATGTCCTGTAAAACACATGAATGAATGAAACACGAATTTCCCTCATTGATATGAAAGCTATGTCAGAAAATAAAATAAATACCGCACCTTGGTAAAATAAATATGAATCAAATATTACTAATGAATATTAAATGATAAAGATTAATCATAGGTACTAGGGCATAAAAGTGACCTCGCTAGTGGGCCTCCCATAACAAATGTCCTTTCTAGAACAGTCTCATATTCTTTTGAATAATCAAAAGTGATTTCTAGTAGAATATCATAGAGAGGGGTATTTTATAGAGGAAATACAATCAGTTTTGGCTTAAAACTTAAAAGAAAAATATCTCAGTATATATTTAATTTATGAGTCTAAAATAAATGCCCATGTTTCTAGATTCTACTTTTGCTGATGCCAGGTACTTTCCTGAATATAGACTATACACACACACACACACACACACACACAAACACACACACACACAAACAGTAGTATAGGTCATGGTATGTATTATACGTATATACATATATATAACATTTAAATTATATAACAGCATTATATGTTATATATGTATATGCATAATTTATGCAATACTCATATATTATATAACATGTATATATAATATGTAATATGCATGTGTATTATATATAACATGCATATATAACATGTAAACTTATAATGCATATCCATATTATACATATATAACACATAATACTGTTATATACTTTTATTTATTATATAATATGTATATATAATATGTAATACATGTATACATTATATATAATTATATATCCTGTTAATTTTATACAAAATATATGTATCTATGTTATTATAGATGTATAATATGTATGCATATGTTATATAATACGTACATATGTAATATATATATTATATTACATATAATACTGTATTATATAGTATACAATATACTATTATATATTGCATATTATACAATATACAATATATTATATACTATATATAATACAGTATTATATATTTATTATACATGTGTATAATATGTAATATATAAATACTACTAGATTATATTACAGTATACTACAGCATATATATGATTAAATATATTACTACTGTAATATATATGTGTATATATACTAGTATAGTCATATATAGCAGTAGTATATATAGTCATTGCCTATTTTTGCTCCTCACACACTTAATTCATAGCTCCAAATCTTTTGAAATGAAAAATAAAAGTTTGCTTTATGAACTATCAACATGCAGCACCAAAATAAGTACAGGCTTAAAAAAATTAAATATATTTTAATGACACCAAACACATTCAGCCCTCATTTTGCCTTTCAGTTCAAATGGCTAGCTTTAAAGGAAATTCTATATTCAAGAAAATACCTGACATCAGCAAATGTGGAATCTAGGAAACAGACAGTTATTTTAGAATTATAAATGAAATATCTGCTGAGATATTTTTCTTCTGGGTTTTAAATCAAAACTTATTGTATTGCCTATACTTGCTATAAAGTATAATGAATGTTTAGGCCTCATCCTCATCACAGATGTTTCGGGAATTTTAAGCCTATAAAAAATCTACAGCAAGAAGAATTATCTTCCTTATGGCTTTTTCACACTGAGTACTTGAACAAAATGGGTAAACCATTCAGATATTGGCCATTTTAACAGCAATCAGGAAGACCACATTCAATAATTGTTGCACTGTCAGGTCTATTGTGGCTTTATGATTACCTTCAGCACAAAATTTAAAAATGAGATTAAAATTGGGAGGGAGCTGTTTACTAGAAACCGTGTTTCTTTTTCAATTGCTTAAAAGGGCAGCATTAAATCAAGAAGGATCAAAGCATCTCCTGTGATGTATGAAATCAGTGCTCCTAAAACAGGAAGAATCAAACTTCCACTTACTCCTGAAAAAGGTGCATTTCAATTGAAACCCATCCTCAGACGGATGAATTACCTTTCCATTACACTGAGAGAGTGGAGATGCTTTGGTATGGCTTATGAGTACAAGGAACGCATGAAAACCATTTTGTTTCTATTTTTGCATGCTAACTGACACTCAGAAAACATTTTAAAAGACCAGAACTTAGAAGCAGTACAAATTTGTTTTTTAAATTGCAAGCCAGAAAATGAAATAATGATATAGTTTGTATGGCTGTAAAACGTCTTGATCAGCATTTTCCCAAGTGTTGTCTAAGAACAAAACATCCTTGAAATGCTCTGTTAAACAAAAACAAACAAACAAATAAAAAAAGATCTTCAAGGTCAGGTGCGTCTGGGACATGCTGCCCTCTGGAGTCCTCCCAAGGTAGCCAAGGTACCCATGAACACGCTGAACGCTCTGAAAGTTCCTGCAGTACCAAACCCTCTTTCACCACAACTTCACCCGGGGTTTCCTGAACATATATAAATATAGCACATTTTGATTCTTCTGGTATTGACATTCTGAGGATCTCATGAGCCATATAACACTTCAGGAAAAACTTCCTGGGTAATTAGTAGACTTTTGTAACAGAGTTCAAAGGTGAAAATATACAAAGGATATCTTTACACTGTCCCCCTCTGAAATACCCAGCTGATCTTTTGTTTCAAAGAAACCAATTCGACAGATCTTACCTAAAAACGAAGTCGGATTTATCTATTTCAGCTCCACAGAGAGACTTATTCAGAATTCCCCCATTTCCGACCACTGCACACTGATTATAAGGGTACTCCACAAAAGGCTGGGACTAGCAGGAGAAAGTGGAAAACTACCATGAAATACCATTAATTTTAGAACCATAGACAACAGCTTAATTCTAGTGACTTAACTTTTTATGCATGCTAAGGCGAAGAATAAGAACAAGAAAAAGCAGCAGCCCAGTTTGCTAATCAACTTACTATGACTTAGTATAAAAAATCAGCTGGGGCTGGGTGCAGTGGCTCATACTTGCAATCCCAGCACTTTGGGAGGCCAAGGCAGGTGGATCACAAGGTCAGGAGTTCAAGACCAGCCTGGCCAAGATGGTGAAACCCCGACTCTACAAAAAATAGAAAACAAATAATAATAATTAGCTGGGCGTGGTGGGCGCCTGTAATTCCAACTACTCGAGACTGAGGCAGAGAATTGCTTGAACCCAGGAGGCAGAGGGTGCAGTGAGCCAAGATGGCACCACTGCACTCCAGCCTGGGCGATAGAATGAGACTCCGTCTCAAAAACAAAACAAAACAACAACAACAAAAAACCAGCCGGGTGCAGTTGCTCGCATCTGTAATCCCAGCACTTTGGGAGGCTGAGGTGAGAGGGTCACTTGAGGCCAAGAGTTTAAGATGGGCCTGGGCAACAAAGCAAGATCCTGTCTCTACAAAAAGTAGAAAAATTGGCTGAGTTTGGTGAAGAGCACCAGTAGTCTTTGCTGCTTGGGAGGCTGAGGTAGGGGAATCACTTGAACCTAGGAGTTCCAGGATGCAGTGAGCCGTGATTGCACCACTGCCCTCCAGCCTGGGCGACAGAGCAAGACCCTGTTTCTTAAATTTAAAAAAAAAAAATGTATAAGTAAAATAAAATAAAATAAATCATTATGTGAACCTAAGTTTCATTTCTGTTGAGAGAAACAGACAGCATAGAATACACGGCATAATGTAATATACAAAATACAGTATCATGTATTTTTCATCACATGATTAAGGAAAAAAATTAGAATGGCAAAACCCCATATTCTGCCTTTCTGATAAACAAGGACATTTTCAGCAAGAAAGAGAAAATAAAGAAATTAGGAAGCAGCATTAAATCTATTTATTCTAAGGCATAAAATTAATAGGTGATTTAGCAAAAATTTCCTGTGCTTCTTAAACAGTTAGACCTTCAGGCTCAGTAAGGCATTAGATTTATGCCTGCCGTCTCTGCGAATGACCAGCCAGCGTGCTTCAGGGAGGTCTACCAACTGGACTGATATATTTCACATTAATTTCCAAGACCTGAATCTTTTTTATTCCTTTTAGGACCCGGCCTGCTTACCCCAGAAGGTTTCCTATTTTCCCAAGTTCTCTGCAGTCTCGAAATCTAACTTTTCGATTCAATGGCGTACTTCCCCTTTCCTGGTCACCTTCCATAAAGTAATAATGTGACCTCGAGCCCACAGTCGGGGTGCCAGCTCATGCTTCCCAGTGACGAGGTCCTGATCTACAGATTTTGTCTGTAGGATTAAGGTGTAAGTCCTTGAGAGCAGAGAGGCTGTTTATTATTTTTAATTTCCTCTCATTTTTCCCTCCTGATCTTGTGTAGTGCAATGTGCACAGCTTTCAATATCCATCTCATGGCCTTCAACAAGCTCTCCCACCTTCACACACACACACACACTTCACACACACACTTCACACACTTCAACAAGCTCTTCACCCTTCACACAGAAAGGTGGCTTTGTGAATAAATCTTATTTCTTTTGCAAAACCGGTATCACAGTAATTAATTGACTGCACGTGCGCAGAACGAAACTGACCCTGGCCTGTCAGCATTGAAGGGGCCACTGGTAAATATTCAGGAATTTTGTGAGTTGGTTTTTTAAACCATTGGTCACTAAAAAGTGTCCAGGATGGGGGTATTGACGCCACTGAATTTGGCAAAGGTTACAAAATCAAGGCATGTCAAACTTGCCAAAGTCAGTTTACCAGCCCCACTGGCAACAGTCCAGGGCCAACGTGGTTCTGAGCAGCCCAGAGTGACAGAAGATGCCCCAGAACCACCGTGACTGCTGTCTGCCCCTGATGCTGGCTCTGGGAGCTGCCCAACTAGCAAAGAAACTCGGTTTTAGTACAACTCTCTTTGTGGGTTTGTCTTTGAAACGTAAAAGTCATATTGAGCTTTTTAAGCAAGAGGCACTATTTCAAATACATACTTTATTAGCACATTTAGCCTACACAGCAACCTTTTGAGTATTTTACAGATGGGAAAATGGAGGCATGAGTCCAAGTAACGGACAGAAAGTGGCAGAACTGGGATAGGAACCCAGACAGTTTGCCCCAGAGTACCTGCTCTAAACCACTACACATTATCGTTTCTCACAATTCCATGGATTAAAATGATAACTTAATGATGTATAATTATGTATCTTATTCCTTGTTATATCTGCAATGGCTAGCAGAGTGATTGGCTCTTAAATGAATGGTTCCCAGATACCTCAGGCTATTTCATGTCACCGAACTTCTAGCTCACGACGTCTTCAGCCAGTATCTACTAAATGGTGCCACCATAAATTCCGAATTTTATAGATAGGGTAGGATTGAAAAATGCAAATAGGCTCTTTATGGTATAAAATAGAAAAGATTACTGAAGGAAACATATCTCAAATTATGCATTCACAATAATGAATGTTTTTCTCTGGTTTCTTGGTCAACTGGGAGGAAAACATCTATATGCTTTAGTATCTCATGTTCCATATGAATTTAAATAAATTACAAACCTCAACATTTCCTTAAATAAACCTCCTAAGAAAATGCAAATTTGCACACTCCACTGCCTGCTCATTGCCCACTCTGGTTGAAAATCAAGTTTTGGTTTTTTTCTCTGCAAGTAACTTAGCAAAGTTTGTGGAGGAAGTGGCTCCACATCATTTCATCAAAACACTTAATGCGATCTTCTTGTGTGCCCAGCAGTTCGTTCCGGAGAGTTGCATGCAGAAGGGCAGAGTAAAGCAAAGTGGCAAAGAGGACATCTCCACCACGAGCCCCGTCCATGAAAGGAGAAGCTGGAGCAACACAAAAAAATGGGACCTGGCGCTGCAATTGGTGCTGTATTGACTGCAGAATTTCCTCTCCTCAGTTTAAAAAAAAAAAAAAAAAAAAACAGTATAAATTTGGAAAGTGGATGCAGTTCCCGGTGGCATACATAATTATCAGGCCTATATTAAGTTAATCCTTTCAAAGGGTCAAATGAGGGTAAAGTAGTTGCTGCTCCTCTGTTCCGGTCAGTGGAAAACATGGCAGACACTGCAAAACCTGAATGGATGAATGAGTGAAAGGGTTCACTGTCAAACTTTCCAAGGCTTTCCCTGATAGGAAAGATAAATACTCTTTCCTTATCATCTTTTCAATCACTGGTCATTTCAGGGCATCATGAGAATGCTTTATGAGTTATATTTTTTGTCCCCTTTTTCTTCCAGAAAATATACAGTATTTTTTCTCTATCGTTTTCTATTTATTTCTCACTCATACTCAACAAGTTATTCTTCCTCTGAATCCTAACATAAAAAAAGAATTGGAACAACTTACATAAGCAACAAAAATTAGCTGAAAGAGGTCAAAGTTCCAACAAAAGAAAACTGTAGGAATCTCATATCCTACAGTTAGTGTACTGCATATGTAGAGGAATCCCGTTTTGACCATCCTGACATGGTCTAATTGCTTTGTCATGGAATCGTAGAAAGATGCTGGAGAGCGTATGTTTAGAAGCAATGAGATGTTTACGTTCCTCAGAACCAAAATTTCCCCGTGAGGATTTGTATTAAGGGTCGAGTTTCTCCTCACTGTGTGAAGTGGCTTTTTATCCTATCATTACTCATTCTTCTGATTTTACAAATAGGTAGTGAGTGCATATACGTACTGGGAAATGTTCTCGGGGTTTGGGATATATCAGTGAATACAGCAGACAACAATCTCTATCTTATGGTGGCTACGTTTATTGACTATAAATCCTCACCTATTTACTTCCCAAAGATGAGCCACATAAACGCACCGTTCCTTGTGAAGGAATTGATTTAGTCACCATAACTGACAATTGGAAGAATCTTATTTGAGGTGAAAAATGGCCATCTTCACACGCCTCAGTGATTACTAAGCAGGAAGCCCAAGCGTCTCATCTCATTCGAAGAAGAGTCTGGAAGACTCAGGAGTGGAAGAGCTTATCATTTAAGATATAAATAATCCTTCCCTACAGAGCCACACTGCATTCAAAACGGCCCTTTTAAAAAATGGCCCACTATCCAAATTTTATACAACATAACAATATGGTATTTTAATTAATTCCATCATAATTGTAAGTTACAGCTTAAAGTAAAAGAAAATTCACCTGGAATGGTAACACAAATAACCCACCACAAATCTTTACTCACCACTGGAAACATATGAAAAATGTTCTTTTTAATTGGGATTTTCTTTTTGCTTTCCACCTCGTAACTCATGTTAGTCCCAACTGGAGTGTTATTCTGAGAAACAACAAAGTTTTGAACAGCATCACAGCAGGAAGCAAGTTTTGCTCTGCAAAGGAAAAGAATAAAAAGGAAGCCAAGGTATAAGATTAAGAAACTGAAAATAGACACCACAATGGATGATGCAAAAGAAGATTTTGTCAGACTGACTTTCAAAAAGAAGATGATTATTCACAAAGATGACTTGTTATTTTTTCTCCAGGCTCTAAATCCCTTAAGGATTGGGACTGACTCTCTTTTTTACTTTTTTTTTTTTTTTTTTTGTCTTTCCTTTAATCTTATCTTAATTTCTTTTTAATTTTTTTAATTTTACTTTAAATTCCAGGATACATATGCAGACAAGGAGGTTTGTTACATAGGTATGTATGTGCCATGGTCATTTGCTGCACCTATTAACCCGTCATCTAGGTTTTAAGCCCCACATGCATTAGATATTTGTCCTCCCCTTACCCCCAACAGGTACCAGTGTGAGATGTTTCCCTCCCTGTGTCCATGTGTTCTCATTGTTCAACTCCCACTTATGAGTGAGAACATCTGGTGTTTGGTTTTCTGTTTCTGTGTTAGTTTGCTGAGGATGATGGCTTCCAACTTCATCCATGTCCCTGCAAAGGACATGATCTCATTCCTTTTTATGGCTGCATAGTATTCAATGGTGTATATGTGCCATATTTTCTTTGTCCAATCTATCATTGATGGGCATTTGCGTTGGTTCCATGTCTTTGCTATTGTAAACAGTGATGCAATAAACATACATGTACATGTGCCTTTATAGTAGAATGATTTAGATTTCTTTAACTATATACCCAGTAATGGGATTGCTGGGTCAAATGGTATTTCTGGTTCTAGATCCTTGGGGAGTCGTCACACTGTCTTCCACAATGGTTGAATTAACTTACATTCCCACCAACAGTGTAAAAGCGTTCCTATTTCTCTACAGCCTCAACTGCATCTATTTCTTGACTTTATTTTTTTATTTTTTGAGACAGAGTCTCACTCTCTCTCACACTGGAGTGCAGTGGCATGATCTCAGGTTCACTGCAACCTCCACCTCCTGGGTTCAGGCGATTCTCCTGCCTCAGCCTCCTGAGTACCTGGGATTACAAGTGTGCACCACCCAGGCCTTGCTAATTTTTTTTAGTAGGGAGAGGGTTTCACCATGTTGGCCAGACTGGTCTCGAACTATTGACCTCAAGTGATCTGCCTGCCTCAGCCTCCCAATGTGCTATTTCTTGACTTTTTCACAATTGCCATTCTGACTGGTGTGAGATGGTATTTGACTGTGGTTTTGATTTGCATTCTCTAGTGACCATTGATGATGAGCTTTTTTTCATGTTTGTTGGCTGCATAAATGTCTTCTTTTGAGAAGTGTCTGTTCACATCCTGGGGTTGTTTCATTTTTCTTGTACATTTGTTTAAATTCCTTGTAGATCCTGGATATCAGACCTTTGTCAGATGGGTAGTTTGCAAAAATCCCATTCTGTAGGTTGCCTGTTCACTCTGATGCTAGTTTCTTTTGCCATGCAGAAGCTCTGTAGTTTAAAATCATGTGCAAAAATTACAAGGATTTCTATACACCCACAATAGACAAGCAGAGAGCCAAATCATGAATGAGCTCCCATTCACAACTGCCACAAAGAGAATAAAATACCTAGGAATATAGCTTACAAGGGAGGTGAAGGACCTCTTCAAGGAGAACTACAAACCACTGCTCAAGGAAATAACAGAGAACACAAACAAATGACAAAACATTACATCCTCATGGATAGAAACAATCAATATTGTGAAAATGGCCATACTGCTCAAAATAATTAATAGAGTCAATGCTATTCCCATCAAACTACCACTGACAATCTTCAAAAGAACTAATTTAAATTTCATATGGAACCAAAAAAGAGCCCATATAGCCAAGACAGTCCTAAGCAAAAAGAACAAAGCTGGAGGCATCACGCTACCTGACTTCACACTGCAAGGCTAAAGTAACCGAAACAGCCTGGTACTGGTACCAAAACAGATATATAGACCAATGGAATAGAATAGAGGCCTCAGAAATAACACCACACATCTATCACCATTTGATCTTCAAAAAACCTGACAAACACAAGCAATGGGGAAAGGATTCCCTATTTAATAACTGGTGCCAGGAAAACTGGCTAGCCATATACAGAAAACGGAAACTGGACCCCTTCCTTACACCTTATACAAAAATTAACTCAAGGTGGATTAAAGACTTAAATGTAAAACCCAAAACCATAAAAACCCTAGAAGAAAATCTAGGCAATACCATTCAGGATATAGGCGTGGGCAAATACTTCATGACAAAAACATTAAAAGCAATTGCAACAAAAGCCAATTTTTTTTTTTTTTGACAGAGTCTTGCCCTGTCCCTCAGGCTGGAGTGCAGTGGCACAATCTAGCTCAATGCAAATTCTGTTTCCCAGGTTCAAGGAATTCTCCTGCCTCAGCCTCCTGAGTAGCTGGGACTATAGGCACCTGCTACCATGCCCAGCTAATTTTTGTATTTTTAGTAAAGACAGGGTCCAACCATGTTGGCCAGGCTGGTCTTGAACTCCTGGCCTCAAGTAATCTGCGCTCTCAGCCTCCCAAAGTGTTGGGATTACAGGCGTGAGCCACTGCACCTGGTAGTTTTTTTTTTTTTTTTTTTTTAAATCTCACTAGACTTCTAACTGGCCCTGGATCGTAGCATGGTGACTTGGCAAGATCAATGGCAAAGCAGTTAAACATACTTATACTCAGGTAGGAACCTTCTTATCAATAGAAAATGCTCATGAATGTAACATTTTTAAAAATACAAAGTTTCTTCTGATAATACTGTTATAACACTAAAAACAAAAAATGAGAGGATTCATTTTAATTTTATAATAATTATAAAATACAGAAACTAAGTTAAGAAGAGTATCACAGTCACTAAAACAATACATAATCATTTATTATAAGTCCAATAAAAAAAGAAATATCTAATACAGTGAATTTTTAACTGAGACAAATTTAAAGTTGCTATTCCTTATAGAAAGGCCAGAGAAGCATAAATTAATACCAAGCTACATTTCAAAATGATTACCATGGAGTGAAACATTATTATTAGAATGTAGACCTAGGAAGTGCTTTCAAGGATCATCTGAGTTAACCCCCAACCTCTGGCAGATGCATGCAGAACTACTTAGAATTCATATTTCATTTCTTCAATTCTCCAACGATGTAGACTCCCTAAAGTCTCTTGATAATTGTTCCAGGGTTTAATCAACCTTACAATCAGAGAGATTTCTGCATTTGTACAATGCAACTATGTTTTAATGTAAATCCATTTTCCTTGTTAGGTTTTCATAGAATCTCCTTATAAAAATACTTCACGTACTTGAAAATGGAAATCAGGCAAAGCTTTAGCCTTTTTCGGTCTTGAAGAGTTTACAGAATTTTCCCTTCTCTCAGGTTTTCCTCATACAACCAGTTTTTCATGATTTTAGTCATCTCATTTATCTTTCAACCTCAACTTATTTCTCCATATTACTGAAAAATCTGTATCCAAGCCAGATTCAGTCATAAGACAAGAGTCAGTGAATATTCAAAAGAAATGTTGATGGTAGTGAGTCATTAGAAATAGTCCGTCCTCAGCCCACACTTCTATTATTAGTTTGGTCCTTAAGAGTAAGCTTCCATACATGTTTTTACTGAATTTTGCCCTTTTGAAAAAATACAATGCTCTAATTTGTCAAGGTCATCTAAAATTTAGTCTTCTAAACTCCAATAATTCTCAAGGCATGAAAAGTAAGGGTGATATTTGCACCTCAAAGTTAAGGTTTTTAATAATACTTCTTATCAGTTAACTTAGATAAGTTACAATATTCGTTAAAATAGTATGTCCTTCTTAATTGGATTCTGTCGCCCATTTATTGTTTCTTTTTGTATTTTACAATCTACCGTTTAAAAAAGATGGTTCATGGAGATTAACAAAAGAAAAAGATGAAAATAAATGGTATGTAGTCAAAAACATGATACTAAGTAGTTTTTAATTATACGTTTAATTTGATAAAAATTTGTGTGACATATTGCAAATTCAGAAATTCTTACTTATATATAATTGTAATAGCTCTTTTATCCAGCATTTTGAGAAAAGGCAACATAATAAATCCTCATTTACCTTTGGCAAATAATTTCTCTAAGGATATTCAGTGCCTACAAGAATATTGCATCACCAAAAACACTAAATCAGATCTCCTCTTATGCTTTTTAAAAATATTAATAGAGTTTTTGCTGAAATGTTTTTTTAGATAGAGTCTCACTATGTTGACCAGGCTGGAGTGCAGTGGTGGGATCTCAGCTCACTGCAGCCTCCATCTCACAGGTTCAAGAGATTCTTAGCCTCCCGAGTAGCTGGGACTACAGGCGTGCACCACAACGCCTGGCTTATGTTTTGTATTTTTAGAAGAAATGGGGTTTCACCACCTTGGCCAGGCTGGTCTCTAACTTCTGACCTCAAGTCATTTGCCTGCCTCAGCCTCCCAAAGTGCTGGGATTATAGGCCTGAGCCACCACCCTGGGCCTTTTTCTGAAATTGTATATTTTAAATATCGTATAAAATTTCCAAACCTATAGAAAAGTTAAAAGAACTGGACAATAAACACTTGAATAACCAGCAGCTAGATTTAACAATTAACTTTTCACTATTTTTGCCTTATTGTGTATCTGTCCATTAATCCAATTTTATAGTGGTACTTGTTGCAATTCAAAGTAAATTATAGATCTGAGTGCATGTCACCTCCAAACACTTCCTATCTCCAGACCCTCCGCCAAGCCCCAGAGGACACTTTTGTGATGATTTTTCACCACAAATTCGTTTTCCCTGTTCTAGTATATGACTAGTATTATGGAACAGAATTATATCACATGTATGCCTTTTTTTTTTTTTTGAGATGGAGTCTTACTCTGTCTCCCAGGCTGAAGTGCAGTGGCTCGATCTCAGCTCACTGTAACCTCCACCTCCCAGGTTCAAGCGATTCTCTTGCCTCAGCCTCCCGAATAGCTGGGATTACA